AGGCTCTTTTCCTAATACCTCAATCATTCCTGCAAGTCAGGCCCGATATTACCTACACAGCTATGGAAATCAGGGGGTTCCCTCCCCATAGAGCAGCTTTTGACTGTTACCCCCTTTCCCCAAACCTCTTTCTTAGCTTTACCCACCCATACCATCAAACCTTCGCATGTGGTGATTTGAGGGCAAAGGTGCTTGGTCTGTAACCTGTCCCTAAGGACTGATGTCAGGGCTTGTCTAGGATGAGGCACTCGTATGCAAAGCCGTTCCCTGTGCAGTTGTTCTGTGAATACAGAGTGGAAACGGGTGCTTTGTGTACATCTACAGGAAAGAGTGCTTTGGGGTTGAAGGTAAATCTTCCTTCTCACCCCACTTGGCCCTGGATGTGCTTTTCCCTGTGGGGGGAACTGTGTAACTCTCCTAAGTGTGGGGCAACTGTACAGGGGAAATAGGATAGTGATTTGTCCTCTGTGGTGACTCCATCATGGAATGGCCTGATCCAGGCCCCCTGTTGCCCAGATCAGCTCATATTCCCCAAGGCTTTTCCTTCAGGAAAGGGGACAGGGCACAGGGGTTCATCTGATCATGGATAAATCCTCCTTCTGTAGGGAAAGGAGGTGGTGCCTGTGGCTGGGGATGACTTGGTGTCGGTGCTGTCCATGCTGTGGGACTGATGGTGTTGCTCTGGGGACTCTTTTCATCTCACCAGCCTGCAGGATGTGTGACCTCCTGAAGGAGGCAGGCTCCGAGCCAGCCGGGGATCGCTATAGGATCACCAGCAACGCCGGGTAAGGAGCTGGCTTTGATGTGGAAGTGGGACCATACCCCTGAGAACATGGGATCCCACCACCGAGCAGAAAACAGGATGGAGGAGGCAGGGCGCTTTATGGACATACCTGGGCCTCTGCACAATAACTGTCTGCTCCTGGGTGTTTGAGCCTTGACTTACCCAAGCAAACAGGGCTCACTATATGAGCAGAAAACACAGTGAAGCCACGGCTCCATCGCTTGCTTTTCCACCTGCCCACCGCAGCTGATGGGACTCTTGCTTGCTCATGCTCTTGTCTCCCTTGATTTCAGACTGGTGTGGAGGGCTCAGTGCAGTACCCAAGAGCCCGTGACTGTGCTTGGTGGGGTGTGTTTGAACCAGCTCTGCCTTGGCCCTGCTGTAGCCATTGGCTTGTGCATGCACAGCGGGGAGTGCGTTGGGGCAGTTCTGCATCCCCAGCAGCAGCCTGGGGATGGGGACTGCTATTACCAGGCATGGTGGAGCGATGCATGCATCAGAAAGGGGGTTTTGTGTGTGGGAAGAGGGGAAGATCTAAGTGATCTATATCCTAAATTCCTTCTGGGATAAGGAGAAGGGACACACAGGAAGCGCAAGGGAGGAGAGGACATTTGAGAATCTAGGCAGTCCTATTTGCTGAGGAGGCTGTGTGATTCCCTCCCCTGCAAACCTGGAGAGGGATCTGGTCCAGGATGAGCATCTGGCTTGTGCCATCTTGGCATGATCAATCTCAATTCTCAATGCCCATCATTGCCCAGTCTGGGGACCAGGCCAGGCATGGTCCATCAGGCCCCGTGCAGCCCCCCAGTTACCTGTGTTCTATCAGAGCAGTCCTTGGCCTCTTGGTGGTCCCTGGAGGAAGCCAGCAGCTTTTCCGCACTGCAGATTACCTTGGATGGACTCCCTCCCTTCTGTCTCTTAATGCCAGCTTTAGGTTTACTGGGGTCTGGCTCCCTGCGCTTAGCTCCTCATCCCTCACTACCTCCTTTGCAAAGAGCCATGGAGCAGAACTGCCCCGTGGCTGGACCCCTGCCCCTACAGGGTCGCATGGAAGCAATCAGGGTGGGTGTCCCTTCCCCCTGCAGTGAATCCAGTCACCGCATAGCCCCTCACTTATGGTGGGGGCAAATGAGGTCAAAATGCGTCCTGTGACCTTGCAGTGCTTGACCAACATGGGAGCGAGAGGGCCTCCAGCACCTTGGTGCTTGCGCTGCTCTACTGGGAAAGAGGGAGGGGAGAAATCCAGCTTCTCTTAAGGATCTCTGTGCCTCCAGAGCCCTCCTGATGGAGCTGGGCCCTCCTGCACTGCACAGCCTCTTGCCCTGTGCGCTTCTGCAGTTACACAGTACCCGGCCTTGCCGGAGCAACGCTCAGGATCAGGTCCTCGGGAGAGGAATGGGTTGCTGCACCGCTCAATGGAGCCGTATGGGCATCGTGCGCTTCCTCACTCCTGCCCCTTGCCAAGGCTGGAGGCACGGCCCGTTCGCAACTGCTTGGTTGTGCGATGCCTCTGCTGCAAGCCGAGGGCACGAACAGCACTGCTGTCCTCCGAGGCTGTGTCCTTCGCTTCTTCCCTTGCCTTGTCCCGCTTCCCCCAGGAGCCCTACCTTAAAGGGCATGAAATCAAGGAATCCCGCAACGTACAGTAAGGTTTTTCCTTTCCCCCTCTCCTAAACAAGGAAAGTGCTCTCCTACTGACATCTCCACTGCAGACAAGGTCGCATGTCCAATGTCAGGCACTGCAGGCATGGAGGATGGAGATGCCTATGGACTCGGTTCCTCGGCCAGACGCAATGCTGATAAAAGTGGAGCAGAGATGAAGAGGGGAGGGGGTGCAGAGAGTTGCACGTATGCGGCTGGATCCAGCTCTATGGCTTTTTTGCAGCCAGATAATTGAATCTTCCCTCGCCCAAGCGCAGCTCTCAGGAGGCTCAAACTCAGGGGTCGGTGTGTCTATAGGAAGCTGAAAACACGAGTCTTAGAATAGAGATTTATTGAGGTCTGGAGCCTAGCCTGAGAACCGCTGTGGGCTACTGCAGTCTCGCTGGAGACTGCACAAGGGGACGCGTGCCACCATGCGGTTGCGGTGGCAGGGCTGGAGGTGCCACCACGGCCCCGTGCCTTGCCGGACCCCTCCAGCTGTTGGAAAACAACGGGATCATGATTCAGTTCAGGGACTGGTTGAGTTGCAAAGGAGCTTTGAGGGCTGTGAGAGCAAGATAGGACCATGGCCCCGTTGCTGTGGCTCAATGGCCAAGCCCCTGCGCAAAGGATGAGCAGTGCAGGGACGCAGGAGAGGGGTTGTGGGGGCAAAAATAAAACCATAAAAGCAAAATGGAACAAAAAACCCAAACAAGAATAAAGCAAAAAGCACCCCGCTCCCCAAAACCCTCCAAAGGGATGTTTGGCCAGGGAGCTTCTGAGCAGTGTAGGAGCCCAGTGCTCCTTTCATAGCGTTGGGAAGGGAGAATGGAGGCTTCCTTTCTCTCCGGGCATCCCTGTACATGGGATGGGGGTCCCTTGCTCTGCCCCCCCCAAACCCTTTCGCCCCCTGGGGCGCTCTCTGCCCGCGGACCCCCGGCCCTGCCCGCATTGTCCTGCCGCTCCTCCTGCCCTTTGTCCGCCGGGGGCCCCCCGAGCCCCAGCGGGCCCCCCCCCCCCCAGCGCCCCGTTAACGCGAGGGGCAGCTGCCCCGCCGGGCGCTGCCGGCATTGTTACTCCCATTTGTCAAAAGGCCGAGGATGCTCCATAGATCGCTCCGTGGCTGTTGTTAAGTGTAATTAGAGGGTTTATGTCCCCAATTTCCATGAAAATGAAGCTGTGAGGCTCCTCTCTTGGCATTCACCGCGTGCCTTAATTGTATGGACATTAAATCAAGGTCCGCTGTGAACACGCAGAGAGGGGCTCGGGCTGTCCCCGCTCGGAGCGGGGCAGGCGGCGAGCGGGGAGGCGGGGGGGGGGGGGAGAAAGAGAGAGGCTGTCAGTGCAGGGCCCACCCCGCCGGGATCACCGGGATAACCGGGATCCGGGAGCGCCGTCCTCCATCCCGCCGCCCGGGCCCCTCCGCTGCGGCGGCCGCGGAGGGGGAATTGCGGGGGGGGGGGGTAGGGGTATGTTTGGGGTGCCTACAGGCGGGTACCGCTGTCACCCTCCTTCTCCTCGCCCTGCCGGGGTCAGCATCGCCCCCCGGGTCTCCCCCCCACCAACCCCGGCTCCGGTGCCGCTGCACCGCACCCGGCCAGATGCTGAGCGGCGAGGGTAGCACTGGGGAGGAGGGACGGACAGACGGACACAGCCCGGGGTCCGGCGGGAACAAGGCGGCTGGTAATCATAATTATTATTAATGATAATTAATAATAATAGAAGCCGATAGCGCCGAGCGCAGCTCGCAACAAACCTCCGGCTGCCGATGCCAAGCGACGCGTCCCGGAGCGGAGCCGCGGCCAAGAGACCCGGTGATGCTACCCCGCAAACCCCTCCGATCAGAGAGCGGGGACCCCGGCAGGGGTTGAGGGGTCCCCTGTCCCCGCCATGCCCCGGCACGGCGTAGAAGCACCGCTCGGCGCTTCGCTTTGCTCGCAAGGCAAAGGAGCCGGTTTGTCTGCTCTTGAAGGGAACCCGGCGGAGGTGAAACGCGCGATTCCCATCGCTCCGCCGCGGTTCGGCACAACGATCGCTCCACTTAAATGAAAAACAGGTGATAATAATAGGAAAAGAAAGAATAACATTGAGGGATTGCAAAGGGGTAAAGCGATTAAACCGGTTTCGTTGGTCGCCGTCGCACTTAGAAGCGCCTTACGAATTTAGGAAGACAGCGCGTCTGAAAAAGCCTCACCGCCTCCCGCCCTCCCGTCCTCTTTTTTTTTTTTTTTTTTTTTTTTTTGGTCCAAAACAATAAAAAAATAGGAAAAGCTAAAAATAAGAAAAGATTAAAATCACAAGCCCGTTACGGTCGCTTGCACAAGGGGACAGAACAATTCCTGCTGCTCCTCCAGGTCCGTGGGCCCGAGCCCCGCGGCCGCAGCTCGGAGCGGATTTACCCATCCCGCGGCTCCGGCGCTGCCGCCTCCCTCGGATCCGGCCGCAAACGCCCTCCCGTGGCTCCGGACGCTTGTTTTTGTGTAGGCAAGCTGGAGATGAATAAGAAAGGCGCCTATTCCCTCATTAGCTTTGAATTTCAGACTTTTTTTCCTCCTTTCTTTTTTTTTCCTTTCCCTTTTCTCTCTCTCTCCTCTCTCTCTCCTCTCTCTCTCTCTCTTTTTTTATCCTCCTCCTCTCTTCTCCTGCCCTGGAACAATGCAGAAGGACCCCATCAGAGTGAAAACCAGGCTCCCGCTAGGCTTTAAAAGCAAGATGAACTTGGTGCACCACCCATCTTTCTCTTCTCTTCTCCAAAGCTCTTTAAAGGGGTTATGAGGCGTCTCTCTCAATTTATCCCTTTTCTCTTGATCTTCCTAGCAGAGGGGTTTGGGGTCTAGTCCTGGCTGTTTCAGCTGATCTCATCCAGTCTAAGGGATTAGAGCTTCTTCTCCGCATCCCGGCTCTCGGCACATCTGCTGATTGGGTTCAGCACAAGAGGATTACATTGGGACCCAATGACGTCACCGCTAGGACATAAGTTCTCCTCCATTAACCAAATCCTCATCAGCAAGATGTCCTTGAAACTGGAGGAGTAACATTCAGGACTCCATCGCCAGCCCGTCCCCACCTTCCTCCCGGGCGGGCTGCTGGGGCGTTGGGAACAAATATTGTTTAAGCTTTGAGCACTTGCAGCTGCATCAGTAACGTTCCGCTGCGGGCTGGAGCACCGGGGCCTTATAGGAGAGCACGCACCCTATAAATAGGGCTCTGCACCTAAACTGTTAATCAGAGGAGCTTTATATATTCCATTGCTTTTCCTTTTTTTTTTTTTTTCGTCTTTTTTTTTTTTTTTTTTTTGGTTGGGAAGGGAGGGGGTGGAGGGGCAGGGGGGGGAGGGGAAAGCTGCATCCTACAGTTACATTCCCAGCTCCAAAAGACATCATGGATAATTTTCTTTAAAGCTGACATGGATTTAATTTTAAAACAGGGTGTTGTTTTTTTTTCTTTTCCTTGCTTTTTTTTTTTTTCCTCCCTTTTTAAAGAAATGTGTAGGATTTCACCCCCGTTCTCTCCGAGAAGAGACAATGTGTCCTGAGTTATATAAAGTAAGAGCTTCCCTTTAAATATACAACCTGAATTTTATATCGCAGGGTTTAATGCTTGATTTTGCTTAATATTACACGAGCAGACTCGCAGGAGTGAGGACCTGAAAGGAAATGGCTTTGACTTTCAATCGCCGAACCCAGAGTCTATGTATTATTTTGTTGCTTTGAGTGAAGGCTTCCTGAAAACCCCCAAATCACCCCTAGATTCGCTGCCCTTACCCTGCTCTAACCTGCCGCATCCTGCGCTCACAGTTTAGCTGCTGTCTCGCTATATCCTTCCACCACATCCATTTTGGAGCTGGAAATCAGGACAGAGCCAGAGCTGCTGCCGCTCCTCTCGGTTTAAACTTCCATCCCTCAGCGCGGGGCGGCCGTTACAATGGGAATGGGCACTGGGGCTTATTTACTTCTATCTGAGGTCACCAAATATCACCTCTGGGGACAGAAAACGTGTTTCACACCAGGCAGGCGATGCTCCAGCTTGGAGAGCTCTTGCGTAGGAGCCTTGCGCGTGTTTCGTTTTCACTAAGCGAGCTGCTGCTTCACTGTTAATGCTCCATCCCTCCCGCTCCAGCCATACACCAACCCCCTAAAAAATGTGGATACACACACGCTGATTTTTGGGATGGGAGATGCAGGGCTGTGTGTTTCTACACCCCTTTATCCCCCGTCTAGAGTAACTTTTATGGCCAGCAGTGCTATGCGCATTCGCTGGAATAGCTTTCAGGCGAGGATTTATTTGCCTGGGTGTATTTCCATTCACTGTGGTATTTTCCTTCATCTTAGGAAAGGGGTAAGGCAGGGGGAGGAGGGATACAATTGTTTTGATGGAAGGTGTCTTGCTCCAGCTCTGGAAGTCTCTCTCTGCCCCAGCAGTGTGAGCATTTCCAGGACAGATGGGCCATAACCGCTGGAAGAGAGATGTGTTCCCTTTCATCCTATAGGAAAGCAATTGTTTTAAGGATGGCGTCTCCCTCTCCGAGAGCTGGGCCAGGCCTCTAAACAGCACCTCATGGGCCACAAAATACTCTGTGCCGAGGTTAAATATCACCTTCTGAGCTCTGGAGCTGTGTTTAAAAGGCAGCTCCAGCCCTGAGAGCCTCTGTCCCTGTTAGTATGCATTTTCCTTTTCCTCTTTTATAATGCTGCAGCTCACGCCATAAGCACCAAAGCGGGGAAAATCAGTTTCTGACAGTAGGCAACGGAGGGAATTTTCCCTTAGCTTTTCCTCTCCTGAAACTTAAGGGAAAAGAAAATAGAAATAAATCTGCTTATTTAGAGCCTGTTCCATATTGACCTATTTACTCCCACAGACCAAAGCTCTCAATCTTTTATCGATTTAAAAGAAAACAACCTAAACAAATTAACACGGAGGAAAACGCTTTCCTTATCCCGAGGGATTCCCGGTTGCTCTGGGCCTAACCCCGGTGCGGGGAGGCCCGGGCCTGGACCCGCAGCCGGCTCTGAGGATGCTCCCGCCCGGGGTCGTGGGGGAAGCTCGGGGGATGCCCGAGGCCTCTCCTCGGTGCTCGGTGCCCGGTGCCCGGTTCCCTGCCGGTCCCGGCTCCGCTGTCCATGGTATTGAAGGAGCGGAGGCGGCAGCAGCGCTGCGCATGGGTCAGCTCGGGGGGGTTTCACACACATACACATACACAGGGGTGAGCTTCTCCCCCTTAAAGCAGAAGGTGTTTTGTTTTCCTCCCTGCCCCTTCCCGAGGGGTCTTTATGCAGCCGAAGGGCCCTAGGGGGGAGGTTGGTCAGTCAGGATGTCTGTCTCTCTGTCACCTGTGTGGGCACAACGCACCCCCTCTGCCAATCATCCCTGAGAACCCAGGGGTTTGGGTTTATCCCCCTCCCCGCAGTGAAGCAGGGATGGGTATTCTGCACTCCCCATCAGTGTAAAGCCCCGTGGTAGTGGCTTAGCCGCAGCATACGGCAGCGGGTTCCTGCTCTGCTCCTTTATTTCTCCTTTAAACCGAACCTCACCATCAGTTCAGCACCTCTAAAGTTTGCCATTGAACACCCCCATCGACTAACCCCCCCCCCCCTCCCACCGCCCTGCACTCCCAGTTCCTGCTGTAACAGCAGCCTGGGCTTTGGCTGCGATTTCATTAACCCTTCCAGTGAGACATTTTATCTTCAGCACGGCCCTTCCTGCATCTCTAACGCAGCTTTTCTCTACCCCAGAAGAAAATCGTCAGATGATTTGCAAAGGGCCATGTTTTGCGTTCTCGTTTCTTTCTTCTTCTCCCCCTCTTCCCCTCTCTGCCTTTTTAAACCTACCACCTACTGTTCCCCGAACAAAGAAATCCCAGAGACAAGCAACATGCCTCCACTTTCCTTCCATTTCCAAACCCCGGCTCCGCCATGTGTAGATGACCACATTAGAAAAATACACAAGATTGAACCCGAAATCAACTGCGGCACAACAAACCGTAGCAAAACCTACGCTCAGCCCTGTCCCGGCCAACGTGACACACACGTACACACACACCCGCACGCACCCTCACTGCGGAGCGCTCACAAACACCCCCAAAATCTAGCCTTCTCTTAATTTCTGCTCAATAAGTCAATCACCAACCAGCCTTTGTCTGTCTGTCTGCCCCCTGGACGTGGCCCAGGTACCGGCCCCAGCCCCATCCCGAGCATCGCCTCCGCATCCCGGAGGAGAAAGCAAAACCTCTTTAAAATGAAGCCCGGATCTCTTTCAAATCACAGAGAAAGGTTTGGCACATTCTAGGCCTCTGGTTTCTGCCCCAGAAATCTCACTGCAGAGGAAAGAGATCAACGGAGTTCAGTCCCTGTTATAATTTCACACATTCTTCTATGTATTTCCCCCCCCCCCCTTTTTTTTTCTTCTCTTAGAAAGCAATTCATTGTCTTAGAAAGTAATTACACTTACAAGAGGTTGGGGAATGAGATTTTTCTATCAAGTCTCCTCTCCCTCTTTTCCTCCCTCTGTCTCCTTTTGGTCTTCTTGGCTGCTGCAGGGCTTTCTAATTGGGTTTTTTTTTTCCTCATATCTGTAATAAAAAAACACAAATGCCCCCTCTTTCCCCCCCTCTTCCCCTCGAAATCTACAATTTGCTGATTTGCAAAGCCTCTTCCTAGGTGGAGGAAAGCCGCCCGCTCTCCCCACGACTCGCTTTCCTGGCCTCCCAGCTCCTTGAGAAAGGAGGAGGGCCTTGTGCATTACAATTCCATTCAATCTCATTCATTCTTGCCTCTTTCTAACGGTCTTTGGGCAGCAAATCCACACCAACGGGGGGTCCGCGCCCCCTCCCCCCCCCCCAGCCTTAAACACACACAATAGCCGTCAGCGAACGGCACAGCAGCAACTTTGAAACATTCAGGCTTGTGAAGTGAAGAATGCCCGCAGCTCCCCGGCCCCCTCCCCCTCTGCTCCTTCCTGGGCTTGACATTTAAAACAACATCGAATGATCTTAATTTTATAAAGGGGGACGGGGGACGGGGGTGGTGAAAAAACCCCCCCAGATTTCAACCAAATAAAAGCCCTCACTTGGGTCACACACACGGTTCCGCAGGGCAGAATCCCGGTGTCAAGCGGTTCCTCCGCGGGAGAGGATTGCTCCATCACGTAGCTAATTACCTGCTTCCCTTCTCAGTGCTCCACGCTGGAGAACGGCTCTTTTTTTCCTTCCCCCCAACCCGCGCTTTTCCTTGGGATGTTTCTCTGGTTGTATCAATCACCACGATGGTTTCCAGACTCGTTTTTCCCAGTCACTTGGTGGAAGGCACAGCTGAAAGCTGGGAGGTGATGGGGAGACGGGGGGGTCCTGGTTGGTGTGTGCCTGCGGTGCAGTGCGGATTCACATCCTCAGCATGGGGGGACTGGGAGCTTGCTTGGGGTCATCCCCATCCTGGTGTAAAGGGGGTACATCTTCCCCCCCGGCCAAGGGGGTATGGCTGGGGTGAGCATGCATCCCAGTGGGGATGGGGGATATGAGCATGGAGCCAACATCTCATGATCTATGAGGTCTTTCCTACCCAAACCATTCTATGTTTCTATGATCTCCCTCCTGAGAAATGCTGCCCCTTGCCAGGGGCTCGCTCCCACTGCCCCATTCCCATCTCCATCCCTACCAGCTGCTGTGTGGTACCAGGGCCAGCCTTGGACAGGCTTTTCCCGATTTCCCCACACCACCACCTTTGGCTTTGAAGCTTATGTATTTTCTCCGCTTTCCCTTTTCTAAGTGAAGAAGGCCATTTTTGCTGTCTCTAACCCTCTGCTCATCCCTTCTATCCCTTAGGAACACCCCTGATCCCTCCAATGCTCCCCCAAGCCTCAGAACATTGTCCCGGGATGGGTTTTGTCTGGGAATGAGGAGAAGTCCCTGTGTGTGGATCCCACTCCTGGTCTCACCATAGTTATGGTGCTGCTGGTTAAGGGCTCAGCTGAGGGCTTTGGTGGTGGTGGTGGGGTCCCTGCTCTCAGCACCCCCAGGACCCCTGGGTCTCCAGGCACTACCGGCTCACCTGACCAAGGGCAGAGCTGCTGTCCCCTCCGTGGTGGAGGGGGACAAGCCCAGGGGTGCTTCTGTCCCTTGGGGTCAGCCTGGCTCCTCTAGCACCTGCTGAGATGGGGGTTCCCCATCCAGGAGGAATGGGGACCGGGGCAGCGCAGGCACCTCCTGGTTTGGTTTTCTACAAGGGGAAAAGGAATAGGATAAGGAAGGGAGAAGGGAAAGGGAGCCGGCTGAAGGCTCTGCTGTCCCCGCTTGCTCCTACACTGGGATCTTGCAGCAGCAGCAAGCAGGAGGGGGAGGCCATGGCTTCACTGCATGTATTTGAGGGAAAAGTCCAGTCCTAGAGGCAGCCCGTGGCTACTGCAATGCCTTTAATACAATTAAAAATCAATGACACTCTGTGCACGCACGCAAATAAACATCACCCCTCTGCATCCCTGCTTCCCTGCCCACCCCCTCTCGAAGCCGGTGGGGAAGGCATCTTCTCCAGAGCCTGTTCATTACCGCTCTACTTAGGTGGGGAATTGCTTAACCGGTCTTTCTCCAGTAAATCATATTAACTCCAAGCACTGCTATTTATAAAATGTTCCACAGCCCAAGAGTACGGCATCCAGATCACTCCAAGAAAATGAGGCGATTAGGCGTGCATAATCCAAGCCCAGCGCGCCTCCGCACAAAGCCCCGCAGCCGGCCTGCCTTCAGCTATTCACTGACATGAAAGACATCACCGGGTTCATTGGAAGCTCATCTCAGGCCCAAGTCCCAGCCAGAGCCAGGGAAATAACCTTTTGCAGGACACAGCATTCCCGGATGGCTTCTTGTGGCTGGGGAATGAAGCTCAACTTGGGAATGCCTCCCCTCCGCAGCCCTGCTTGGCGCAGAAGGGCCCCTCCAGCCATATAGAATGCAGCACTCCAGGCTTCTCCCCCCCTCCTCCTTTTGCGACCCATTAAACGTCTTCTATACATTTCCTCTTCATCTTGTCAAGGCCAGTTGCTCTATGACTGCTGGTTTCCCAGGCAAATCACACCAATTTCTGAGTTGATGTTGAAGGTCCACATTGGCTCAGCAGGGGTCCCAGCGAAGCACTCATCCATGGAGCCGGGGGTCAGGCTCTGCCCTGCTTCGCCAGCTGAATTATTATGATGTGGGGTTTTTTTTCCCTTGAAAGTCTTGTTGCTCTTTGAACATTTACAGATCTGTTGGCAACGGGGATAACAACAATAACCAAAGGAAGGGCGTCCTCGCTGCAGACGTGCTTCTGAGCCTCGCTTGTAGCGAGGATGCTGAGCGGGATGCACCTTTACTTCAACCTCTTAAAGCAAAGAGGCTCCTTTTAGGAGCACACTAATGGGGTGCACATGTGCAACCTCCAACACCTAACCCCAGGCAAGAGAGCACCCTGTGCTCCTTGGGGTCTGCCCATGCACATCTAGGGTTGCATTCCCATTTTAAAAGCGTTATTTGCTGAAGAGCATCCGAATGCCTCACCCTTGCCTAGGCACACGTTTGGCTGTGGGCACAGGCAGGAGCACATCCCCGCACACCCCAGCGCTGGATGCTCAGCGATGTGATGCTGCAGAGGTGAAAAAGAAACCTGGCTCCTCTTTACACTCTTGCGCTCTTTTTCCCCTTTCTCCCTTCCCCTTTGGCAGCTTTAGCATTTTTAATTAAATTAGAAGCCTCAATAATGTTTTCCTAACTACAGGTCCCCTCTTCCTTGTGGAGCAGCGTGCGGAAAGGTACAATTTTGCAAACAGTTTCTTTAAGAGCTGGGCCTGAAGTACCATCAGCGCTGTGTGTGAATAGAAAAAGAAACACCTCCACAAAAGCAGGGATTGTTAACGGAGGACAATCCAAAGGGGGCCCACTAAGGCCTGTCCTTTACAATAACGACGGAGGGCGATGATTTGAATGCAGGGGGCCCTACTTTCAAATCTGGACAAAACCAAAATGGTAATAAGGGTTGAATCCCTCACTGGTCAAAGCAGTGGGCAGCAACTGGTCTCTTTAACTGCCCCCACCCCCTCCTTCCCCCAAATCAGACCCCAAACAAGAGGAACTCTCCTCCTCCTCCTCCTCTTTAACTTTATTTCCTTGATTAGCTCTAAAAAATTAATCACCCGGGTGCACTTGGGGGAAACCTTTTATGGGCTGCTTGCAAGGAGAGGGCTCCTCTTCTGCAGGCGGGGAGGGACGTGCCTCGCTGCGGGCAGGTAAGCACCGAGGGGCTTCTCTTTCTTACCACGCTTGGAGCCTTTCCAAGGGCTGCCCGGGATTCCCATCCGCGGCAGCAGCCGGGATGCGGCTCGGTGGGGCCCTTCCCATCCATGCAGGATGCTCGGCAGAGGTGCTCGGGGCTCCCCGGTGCCCTGCCTCCAGATGTTGCATCATTTTGTAGGGTCAGTTCGTTTTATAACACCGCTTGGCGCTTCCTTGTCTTGGAGCCAATTAAACCTTTGCATCCGAGGTGATGGGGAGGGATGTGGGGGGAATTAATAATCACAGAGCTGGGTTTAAATCACCACTTATTTAATGGGATTCCTGGAAAAATATCAGTGAAGGCTCTGGAAAAGCGGACGCAGGGCACTGAGGGCCACGGGAGGGGGGTCTGGCTGGGAATGGGACCTGGATGCTGGGCAGAGGGTGTGAGGAGTGTCCCCTTACTGGGGACATCAACGGCTGGTGCTGTCCCCTATCCCAGTACCACCTCCATCCCTCCGGCTTCACTTTCCCCTGCAAATCCCCCATTTATCCTGTCCAGGGGGGGATTTATCCCAGCCAGGGGGTGCAGGGGGATGCTCAGTGTCCCCCCCATATCCCAGCACAGCTTCAGGTCCCCATCCACCCTGTGAGGATGAAACAGGGACGAGTGTCCCCACGGCATGGGTGGGTGCAGCCAAAGCCTATGTCCCACGCATGGAACACTGCCCACTTGTTAGAGACAGTGATTTGTGTGGCCCTACCGAATGTATCAGGGATTATTTATGTGTATAGCTCTCTCTAATGCAGATATAATGGGGTAGCACATGTATTTATATAGTGTGTGCTCTGTCTGTGCAACTCACATGGCCCAGCCGGTGCATGGAACATGTACCCATCTTATGGCCATAATGTGTGGGATGTACCTTTAAGATCCTGGACCTCTGCTGGGTACCAGGCGGTCAGTCCTGCTGCTGTCTGTTGGTCCTCACTGCAATTCATCTGTCCAAGCCTTGGAAGCCCCATCTGATCCCATTTTACCCCTCAGTTTCCCCCTGCCTTTGGAAAGCAGCGTGGCTTTAGGTGCTGCCACCGAGTAGGAGATGGGAAGCACCTTTTCCTAGGAAAAAACCACACAGAATGTTTGGGTTTATAATTTATTCTTATTTAACTTGTTTGCTTTTAGGGAATACGTTTATCCCAACCATCCCCAGGAATGTGCTCCAGACCGGGGGGGGTTGGAGAGATGGTTTTACTCTAAGGAATGGGGCTGGGGGTCAAGTGTTGTCAGTAGGTTTTGCACCCTCTCTTAGAAAACCAGCCCATCTCCCTGAGGAAGGTCCCCGGAGGGGGGGGGGGGGGACAGGCTCCTGCCTGCTCCCAGCACCCTGCTCACCAATGCAGGGGCTGAACACCCCTTTGTGTCTAAGACCCAGACATCACTGTGGTCCCTTCTCCTTTCCTGTTATTTACCAGAAGTGCCTTGAGAAGGGGAAAAGATCCAGGGCCAGCCTCAGGTCCCACCTCTCCTTAAATATTTGCCCTAAAAATATTGGATTAAGGTGGAGGCAGGAGCCTGTTTGATTTCAGAGAGATT